AGAGATACAGAGACAGAGACAGAGAGAGACAGAGACAGAGAGATCGTTTAGCTGCTTGTGTGGGACCTGCTTTATGGTCTGGGAATACTGAAGTCATAGAGTCATAGTCCTTTGCCTCCAAGAATCCAATTCATGGCTGACAAAGGCATTAAAAGAAAATCTTTAGGGTAGCTTGTGATTGATGTTTTAAGAGAAATAGAAAGCAAACAATGAGACAGTGCCTAGGAAAGCAGAACTCACTCTGTTTAAGGAGGCAACAAAGTGTAGACAGGGTAAGAAGTATCCATTCCTCTGTACCTGGGTGAAAGCACTGGATTCTGAGTCACATACATTGTTTTACTGGCCTTAAGCCACTTTGGTAATGGAGCCTCAGTTTTCTCATCTGTAAAGTGGGGTTAAAGTATTCATTTTTATAGCTCTCTGTGTGGGGAGGGTGAGCAAATGGCTCTTTTTTTTCCGGGAGAGGCCCTGTGCTGCTGAGAAGCACACTGCTGAGGGGAAGGTGCAGAAGGAGAGCTCAGTTTGTGTGAGGTTGCACAGGGACAGGGCTGGTCTGAACGAGGGCCAAGGAAACAGCTCACCTGGGTCATCTGTTACCCAGCCCCCCTGGGAGCCCATGTGCACAGTGGCGGAGTACTCTTTCCCAGCACGGCCTTTGCATATTTCACAGTCCTGACAAGCTGGTGAGGGGCCTGGTCAGATTACACACTTCCTCAGACTGCTTTTCACAGGACGTTTCAGCACTTGGTCTAACTAGATGGGGCCTGGGACTCAGTCTCCCTCATAAGGCTTGAAAAAAAATCTGAACACTTTCCTCTGAGGTATCTAGGGTCCTCCGAAGCACCAATGTTTATGAATAATCTGGACCTCATTTCTAGGGGTGAATGTGCCTTTTGGGAACTGGAATCTCTCACACAGCTGCTTCCTTTCTACTTTCATGCCGCTTTCTTGTTACAGAGTAGACAGGTGTTAACTTACTTTATAAAACTTTCGCAAAATGGGGTTAGCACAATTGTGTGTATGCCTTCAATGACTGATGAATGGACACTATGTCCTAAAGTAGCCTTAAACTCCTTCAGCAATGCACATGAGATGGGGGGGGGGGTTCAAGTAAACGTAATTATCCTTGCTGACCCCTTTTGCCTTCCAGCTGTAGGGCTGAGTCAGACTTGCTAGAGGGCTAACACTCCTTTGGCCACATGATGTGCCCTGCACCTTTTGATATTTAGGCTACAAAGTCACTCCTCATAATTAAGGGTACAAGTGCTACTCACCTGCCAGACATGGTAGGAAAGATGAGTTTGAAACCCTGAATTGTCTGATTGAAAACCCTCTCGGAGGGAGTTAAGATTTCTCCACAAAGATTTACCAAATGGGAAACCCACTGAAGACACCTGTCTTCCCCGTGCAGTTTTGCTGGGTTGTTCTGGAAAAGCGATGGAGCACTAAAGCACTGTGCCTTTTCCTTTCCAGGGGAGAAACCTTACAAGTGCACCTGGGAAGGCTGCACCTGGAAGTTCGCCCGCTCAGATGAACTGACGAGGCATTACCGCAAACACACGGGAGTGAAGCCATTCAAGTGTGCAGACTGCGATCGCAGCTTTTCCAGGTCAGACCACTTGGCCTTGCACCGCCGGAGGCATATGCTGGTGTGAGGAAGGCTTCCTGTCCAGCTGGGCATAAGAGCTGGCTCTCTGCGAGGAACCCAGTTCAGCAGGGCTGAATCCCCTTCACAGTGTTAACACAAAAGGGCGTCACCATCCCACGATGTCTGAAACCAGAGCAGGAATAAGAAGGAATACTTCTCTCTCGATCTGAAGGTAACCCCCATCCTGACTGCTTGAGAGACATCCTCACGCTGGCCTGGAAGTTCAGCGACAAATGTTGAAGAGACAGGCATTGTTTTCCGTGCTGTGTCCTCTGCCATTTACAGATGTTTGTAGCCTGTACATTTTCTGAGCTGTCAAACGTTTTGTTATCAGTACCTTAAAGGTCATCGACCACAAATTGATGGCTAGAGCAAGACCTTTTAAATTTGGATAAATCTCTTATCATACCCCACCCTTAGCTCCTTTAAAAAAAAAATTGAGTTCTTAAGTAAGCTAGAACACACATCCAGTCGGTTACCAGCAAGCAGCGTGAACGTAGAAGGGAAGAAGTTGTTGGCGAGGTTCCATGGCCTGAAAATAAAGGCACCCTCGAGCAGCCCCGGGCAGTAGTGCTGGCAGCAACTAGATGCCACTCGCGGCTTGTCATCATGCCGTGCCCTGAGGAAAACCAACATTGAATCTCTCATTTGTTTGTCATTGATTGTTTTCATTTTGTTTCAATTCTGTTTTGTTCATCTGTTAGAGCGGAGGGGCAGCAACGTTTCAGTTGAAGTCTAGTCCTGGTCTCTGCCCTGCCACGGACTGGCACAGAGGTGTTCTGTAGTTGAATAGGAAGAGCCTGTCTAAAAGAAAACTACTGCCCCACTTCAAACCACCGTGTTCTGTCACCCAGGCATCATTTCTTCCTGCCCCTAGTGTTTGATTACAAGGAATCAGAGAAAAAAAACTTTCTTAGACACACTGGCACCAAGAGAAGAGGTGGGGCTGCCCAGGCAAAGTCAGTGCACATGAAAAATCAGACAAAGCAGAGATCGAAATAATGCGCCTCTTGAGGAGAAAAGCAATAATGAATAAAAGGACTTTTCTACAATAACTTCTCTGAGGACCCACATTACCAATTTTCCTACTTACTAAAGGGATTGTAAAAAACACCCCAGCATTTTAGATGTCTTGGTTACGTTTACAGCGCTGAGGTCATCTTTCTGCTGTTTGTTGTCCTGCTTGGTTGAGTACCACAATTAAAGATTATGCTCCCCTTTTCTTGTTTGAAAACAGTTATTTGGTGACTAGAAAGGCAAAGGAGACAACTGGGAATTAACTCCTTGGTTAATGGGTTGGTTCTCCTTGGGACCGAGGTAGTGGGAAGGGACTGATCCCCGCAGAAAGCCTGCTGTGGTGCTAGCTTCCCCTCTTGGAGAGCCAAGGGTGTGACTCTCCTCCGGTAGGTTCCCTCTACATGTTTCACTTTTTAAACTATGTTAGGTCCTCATTGGCATCTGCAGGGATATTGAGCCTATTCATCCTGGGGTGAGGATGAGAGGGAAGTGCAGTCCCATCCACCCTCGAAACTCTTGAGGCTTTTCCAATAAACAAAGCAATGCATCACCAACAAGCATTCTTTCAGAAAAAGGATCATATTTTTGTCCCCACTAAAAGCTGGGTTTTTTCCAGCTTTATGCGGCTCAGGGGCTCGGTAAGATTTTTGTTGGTGATGGTAGTAGTTGTTGTCATTAGGATTTTTTTATAGGTTAGATGTAAAAGGTCTCCACCATAGACCTTTGCACATATATTTTAATTACAAACACTTGATTTGGGGAATTGCACAAATCGACCTCACAATATTCCTAGCTCGTTTTGAAAATGTTTGAACATTCTGAAATCGTTTCCAGTGACAGAATGATCCTTTTTTGAGATCTTCTTCTAATTCGGGTAATCTTATTCTGATGAAGCAAGAACCATGAACGCTGCAACAAGGACGATTTGTGTTGGATAGTATTAAAAGGAATTTCAGGTCAAATTCTGGCTTCACAAATATGTGCTCTGCATTTTCTTCCAGGTCTGAAAAATTCACCAGGCAGTTTCCCTCCAACAAGGGCTGCAGTTCTGTTGATAGTTTCTTCAGCTACACAATCCACTACCCACCAACCAGTAATTTTTTTTTTAATACCAACAGGAACAGTTTTATCTGTACTGTATGCAACTCCTAGCTACCATTACTTGTGACCATTCATAATAGAAAAAGGCTTTCTGATGTGCACCAGCGTTGGTTACTGGTCAATGGCAAAGAATACCAGAGAGGAGCAGCTACAACTATGAACCCCCAGGGCTGGCCACAGCAGCTTGGTGGCAGGTAATAGCAACAAGCACAGTGTAGATTCAAGTTGGTCCTGCCTGCTCTCAAAAGAGCCAACCCTTTTCTCTGCTGAGTGGTATCTTGAGAGTATTGCAAGTAGACAGGCTTTTAGGATTCATTGAGCTGACAGGCAGTGGAGTCTTCCTGAGTGACAGCTTGATTTAAAGTTAGCACAGAACTAAATGAGCCACGCTGCCTAACAACATCAGAAAGAGCTGGGGAGGTGAGCTTTTCTCACCCTCCAGAGTGGAAACCAGACTGAGATTGTAAGTTCACTGATCAAACCCGTCAGCATGGCGCCATTTCCCCTTCTGAGGTAGAAGTTCTTCGAAGAAGGGATCCAAGCACAAGGAAGTGAATGAGTCACTGAGCTAGTCCTGAAGTCGAAATTTTTGGGGGGCTTGTTTTGAGACAAAGCAAATTCACTTTGGTGAGTTTCCTAAGTGTTTTCCTGTGTAAAGAAAAGTAATTAGGAGCAGAAGGAAATGGGATATCTTTAGACACAGAAAGTCCTCCAGTCCATGTGCCATTTCTAGAGTCTTTGGAAAAGCACAGTGTGTGATGAATTACAGGAAAGGGGTAGAATCCTAAAGTACTTTTAAGTTGTTCTCTAACTAGAAACATTCACTGGCTTTAAACTTGAAGCTGCTCAACTTGCAGCTAGAGAGATGTGTGTACTAGGAACTTTCACACACATGCTCATAGTAGTATCACCTAAGCTGCAGGAGAGGGAACTCTGCATTGCAGAGACCAATTCTGGGGAAGCTGAGGCACATGAAGAGTTCTAAGGCTTAGTCCTTGCAGTTTTAACAGAGCCCCTTATATTCTGATCTTAAGTCGTTTGGAGAGAGAGCCCCCATCCCGTCCATTTCCTGCCTCATCTTGCCAACGGTGTGGACTCTGCTTGACAACTTGTCTTAAGTTCTATTAAGGCATTTTCACCGAGATTCCTAAATGGCTTTACCATAAAGATTATACTACTGCCTTTATAAACCACATAGGATATTTTTTTCAAAAGCAGTTGAATACCAGAAACATAAACCCCATGTTTTTGAATGAGCACTTTTTATTCACTTTAAAATTTAAGTGGGAAATAGGAAGGTAGGTTGTCAGGGGATAAACTCACGAAATGCTACAGTGTTCACAAAAGCCAGATTGAGTGTGGTCAGGACCATTTTCATTATGCCTGCAATTTGGAATAGCTTGTGCAAAGATTGTGTTCACTTTTATACAACTTGTTTTAACTTCAAATCACCATTTATGTTTTAAAGTAAATAAAATTCTGCACTTTGAAATAGTTCATTAGAATGATAACATGTATATGGATAAAGATGCAGTATTCCTTATTCTGTACTTTATTTATTATACTTACCAAAGCTGCAATTGAATAAATCTGGTGAGGTGAGGTCTTCATATGTCTTAACCCACCTTTGTTATGTTGTTGTGACCGCATAGAAGTGCTGCCCTGATGCTGTTACCCATGTGTCTCAGCATTCACCGTCCTAACAGAACTGAAGCAGTATTCATGGTGCCAGCATCTACTACAGCCTGCGTAGAAGGGACTGAATGGGAGATCACTTTGATCAATCGTCTTAGGCCCGGGAAGCCTTAATCTTCATAGTTCATCATCCACTCTCAGATTTTAGTCTTTCCAAATACCTAAGATTATTAGGTAAATGTGTTCTGTGACCTCACTGAGCAAATCACTTCCTGTAGTTTCTCCGAAGTAATGCAGACCATCCAGAAAAAGCCTTTTCAGTTTGACTTGGGTTAGTTTAGAGCGGGGTGGATGAGTCCTGTCTTCCGTGTCACACTCCCACTACTCCCCACACTGCCTTCCATTTACCTGAACAGACAGCCCACATGTGCACATGTGTGCACATGCCTGTACATGCAACAGCCCATGGGCTAGGAAGTACCAACGAAGAACTTTTTAAAGAGAATTTGTAATAATCCATACTATCTGGAAATGTAAGTTCCTTACCTTGCTAGGGAAGCAGCTTATACTATATATGACTTTGCTTGCATTTTATAGTTAAGAAATGTACATAGAAATTAAAAATGCTATATTTTCACAGTTTCATTATAGAAGAATGTCTGTCTAGCAACCCATGTCCATTGGTATTTTGACTATGCTAAATATTGAACAATTGCTATAGAAACTCAGATTTTCATAAGAAAATGAAATAGAAGGATACTGCATCTTTAAAAAATAGAGCGAAGATATTTTACTGTATTCGTAACATGTGATAGTGGATAAAGTATTTTCAGACACGCAAGTTTTACAGAGGTTGTAAATAGTTTGATGAAGTATGTTGGGGAAAGAGCTTCTAGTTTTCATCACAATAAAAAATAAACTTGTTCAGATATGCCTTGTATATCTTACACGCAATTACAAGATTGCCACGGGATCCCCATCCCACGGTCTCAAGCGTATGTTCTTTGTGCTCTGTCAAAATGGAGTGGCCACCGCAGTGGTTTAGCCAAGATGGTTTAAAACCCAAGGAAGTCATTTTAAACATGCTATAGACAACTAACTCCAAACTCAGAATGTCTTCTTCTGAAAAGGGGGAAACAGCTCCACAGGATTTTGCTTGTGCTCAGAGCACCTAGCAGTTGCTCTCTCAGTTATCCTCCTCCTCCTCAGCGAAGTGGTTCTTGATCACAAAATTGTGCAGGTGTTATCCTTGTTTAATTCCAGAGGGATTGCTTTTAGGTGTGGCTTCATGGTGACAAGATGAAGTGCGGTGGATGTGGCTGCGTGGTAAAGGAATTTATACTGGCAACAGGAATAAGCTAATGCCCATTTTCAGAACTGAATTAAATACTGAAAGTGCCTGTCAATAAATATGACCAATGATTATTCCTCTACTTTTACACAGCAATAATTCTTCATCAAACTGAGGTTTTCCTGTACATTTTGAAAACCCATCCACACAGAGTAGATGTATGCACATAGTACACTGA